AGTGAATATTTTTTGTTATAACTCTTCCTTTCTGAGCGATTTACAGAATTTGAACTCCGAACCAAGAAAAAAACACACATAGGAAGCGTAATTTAAAGTTTTGTGATTAAGCCATATTGTTTCGCATGAAATTTGGCCGCCATGTTTGTTTTTATCCCAATGCAAGACGCCATCTTGTCCCAAATTTCTGGTAATGTATTGGGTGTCTCGTTTGACTTATTTTTAACTGCATAACAATATTCCGTAGATTCGCTGTCACAAAATGGCTCATGACCGGACTGTTGAGTAGAGCCTGCTTCAGTTTGTGTAAGCTGTTTGGTGTTTATGTGTCCATGTAAAATGTGCATTCTTTCGTGTTAATTCGCGGCACTAGTGGTTCAGTGATAGTTGCATAGTTTCTTATAATTTAGAGCTGTAGTTGGCCATTCCCAACAAACTTCTCACTTCACTGACTGTTGTCGGTTGTTGTGTGTTTGCAAAGGCTTTGATTTTCCTAGGGTCTGGGCTAACACCCTTTTCGGTAAAGATAAGTCCGAAGAATTCGAGGTTCTTTTTGAAAAACTTGCATTTCTCGAGATTTAAATTTGTGTTGTTGTAGTCGGGTGAGATTCCTCCAGAGCAGGGTCGTGGTCTTCCCTGGTGTTACCAAATACAATGATGTCATCCGCAATGTTCTTTATTCCTTTGATGCCCTGGTGGACTTCCTGTAAGGTATGTTGGAAAAGCTCGGCCGCTGCGTTGGTGCCATAGTTTAATCGCTTATACCGAAACAGTCCTAGATGCGTGCAAAAGGTCGTGACATTTCGTGACTCAGGTCTGAGTTCTAGTTGGTGGTATGCTTGGCACAGGTCGAGTTTTGAGAAGAACGAAGCTCCGTTGAGTTCCATGGAGACCGATTCAAGAGTAGTTATTGGGTGTCTCGTTTGACTTATTTTTAACTGCATAACAATATTCCGTAGATTCGCTGTCACAAAATGGCTCATGACCGGACTGTTGAGTAGAGCCTGCTTCAGTTTGTGTAAGCTGTTTGGTGTTTATGTGTCCATGTAAAATGTGCATTCTTTCGTGTTAATTCGCGGAGTGGTTCAGTGATAGTTGCATAGTTTCTTATAATTTAGAGCTGTAGTTGGCCATTCCCAACAAACTTCTTACTTTACTGACTGTTGTCGGTTGTTGTGTGTTTGCAAAGGCTTTGATTTTCCTAGGGTCTGGGCTAACACCCTTTTCGGTAAAGATAAGTCCGAAGAATTCGAGGTTCTTTTTGAAAAACTTGCATTTCTCGAGATTTAAATTTGTGTTGTTGTACTCGGGTGAGATTCCTCCAGAGCAGGGTCGTGGTCTTCCCTGGTGTTACCAAATACAATGATGTCATCCGCAATGTTCTTTATTCCTTTGATGCCCTGGTGGACTTCCTGTAAGGTATGTTGGAAAAGCTCGGCCGCTGCGTTGGTGCCATAGTTTAATCGCTTATACCGAAACAGTCCTAGATGCGTGCAAAAGGTCGTGACATTTCGTGACTCAGGTCTGAGTTCTAGTTGGTGGTATGCTTGGCACATGTCGAGTTTTGAGAAGAACAAAGCTCCGTTGAGTTCCATGGCGACCGATTCAAGAGTTGGTATTGGGTGTCTCGTTTGACTTATTTTTAACTGCATAACAATATTCCGTAGGTTCGCTGTCACTGTTACTGCTGCTTCCATCGTCAGATTTTCTCATTGGTCGTTATTCCTCTCGGCCTTCAGGGGGTTTTGGTTTCTTCGTGTGTTTTGATTTCCGCTTCGACATTGTTTGGCGAAATGGTTCTGTTTACCGCATTTTGTGCACGTTTTGTTCTTGGCTGGGCATTGTCTGCCTTTATGAGGGAACTCGCCGCCGCAATTAAAACATGTCTTGTTGTTCTTCGATTCCTTGGGGGTGTCCAGGTGTTAAACGCATTTAACGTTTGATCATCTAGATTTCCTTCCCTATCTGCTGCTTGAATTTTACTTGTTCTTTCGCGCCTCGCAGCGACCAGAAGATCTTTTAATGAATAACAAGACGCCTGTTCTGGCGTTAACTCCGGCGCACGTGCCAGTCTTTAATATAGAGCTTCTGAACATAAACAATACAGTTCATATTCGCATTTAGATGCCTTACGAAGCTAAATGTTCGATCGCAAAATTCAGCAGCACATCGTACTTTAAAAAGTATAGAAGTTCAATTGTTCGAAAATGTAAACAAACCGCATGATACATTCGCTTTGTCTCACACTTAGCCTTTGGAATTCGCGCTTATATATTATATCTTCAATCCTGTGCAAACTACGACGTGTCAACGCGCCCATACACGACCACATCATCTTGTTAAACGGCGAAATAGCAGCGATATTATTAAAATAGGACCAGAATCTACATGTATTAAATATATTCTTACTCCAATTCAATCTAAACTTAATCGAAGAGCATGAAAACAACGGTTTATTTGTTCCTCTTGAAGGAATTGCCGTATCATGCGAGCGAAATCGAATCGCGCATCGGAAAATTAGCCAAAGCTGTGCACCACAACTCTTAGGAGATAAGACTGGGACGTAGATAAATACAGTCACATACACACTTTAATTACTAGAATATTTCCCGCCATTTTAGACTTGCGACGACGAAAAATAAAAAACAAAAACAAAAACAAACAAACAACAAAACAAAACCGGGGCGAATTTTCAACTCCGTCGCTGACGCCGGAGTAATCAGGGTCGCATAAAGCTTGTTTACGTATGCGCCTAGATTTTCCCCCGATTACTATTCAGTTATGCCATTATTTCAAAGCTAGTCAACGTCAGAAAACTCGCAGTTCTTTGACATCGAACGTATTCTTGTATGAACTGAATTGGTAGATTGTTTCTGACCCACCTTTTTTTGCTTCACGGAATTTATAGACCTCGTATAAACGGTTCTTTGCGGCTCGAAATACGCCCGTTAGAAGCTCCTCTGCTCTAGCTATATCGTCGTCAGCTCCAAAATCGGGAAATTGTCGAAATATTTCCCCTTACTTCAGGCCCTGCCTGATACAGTAATAGGGTGTTTATGCTTGCGTGTTTTGTTTGTGATATTACTGGCAGCGAGAAACATCTTAAAATCTCCTAGCCATGTTCGCCATCGAAGCGCTTGATTTCCTCCCACTTCTTCGTCAGGATTGAATGGTGGCATTGGAGTCACCTTTCACACCAACGAAGCCATTGTCGTTTATTTTAAATTTCTATCGTCGTCGCCATTGTTGAATTTTGTATATAATACATATATTCTTCGCTTCTAGCCCTCCCCCTAATACAATACTTATTCCTTTCTTTCTATATTTAGCCCCCTCGTCCGTCTGTCAATCAGGAGGCGTGTCTACAACACTACAATCAGTGATTTCAAAATTAATATAATAAATGTTCAAATCGCATCCCTTCTAGCAAATGAAATTGCAATATTTGGCATGATTCGGTACCGAATTATTCTGGAAATATAATTAAAATGGGGTCTCAAACCAATCTTGTTCTTTCCATTCAACCGACCAGTTACGAGTGAGTTAAAAACTGAAGTGTAATTATAGAAGTTTACTTGGTAATAGAGAGGCACAATGTCAGACAAGTACCTTGCATGGTCAAAATTGCAATTCTTAACCCTTTTAATTTTTGTCATAATTACATACGGAAATACAGAAATTTTACTGAATTACTGTGATGGATTTAGCGTCAGTATATCAAAATAGATAGCTCGGATGGGCTTTGGCCCCCACTTTTTGCTGAGTAGCTATTCAGTATGTAAATTATTCATCTAATTCGTATAACCTCCCTTGCCGGCAAGGATTCGAGCGTCGACGCGTAGTTTACGTTCCGTATTAGCATCAGTTAAATACTTATATACCTTAGATTTATATTCACAACCGCAGGTAGCTTATTTTTGCAACTCCGACTAGCGATGCACTATGGTGGCTTAGTGGTATAAGTATGCACATTGTAGCTAGTACATGACACGCTTTCATGAGTTTCCATTCACTCTCTTCCACATTAATTTTGTTATAATAGTAACAATTGTGCACTACGTTACATAATTTAGATTGCAAACAAGTTCAGGTACTGCAATTCTTGATGCGAAGCGATAACATCTATAAAGTTTTCTCATTCTTTTTTCGCAATGAAAACAGTAAGTAGATGCTGAATGCGGGAAGAATATCGTGAAGGCTCGAAGTCATTCAGATTAAAATTTGACACGAATTTATAACTGCATGCATGATCTAATTTGGCAATTCCTTTCCTCTCCAGGATGCATGAGTAAGTGAGGTAGAGAGACACTCCGAGCTTATCTACATCTCGGAACCTGTGGATCGCGAAGAGAACATGTCATTGAATATTTGATATTTGCAAAGTTTAAACGAAGCACATTCATGTCGTCGCTAATGACAATATCGAGAACTCCAAAAATATTTTGATCAAGAGAAGTTAAAAGCTGACATTATTTGTTAAGTTCGCATCAAATTTGAGGTAGAAACTGACTCAAATAGACAAAAACACTTCTCGATATTTCTATCTAAGATCGCTGCTACGATGCTCCCTTAGTGGTTGTATCGGAACTTGTTTGTCAAATCCTATAGCTTTATACAGCTGGTAAATTAAATTCCAAAAAATACCCATATTTGTACGAAATTAATGCTGACATTCACTACAACCTTCACGTGTAATAAAAAGGTAATGAACCTCAATTTCTTATATTTGCAAGGAATTCCATCAAATTTCAACACCCAATCATCTTTAAATTTGTTGATATATTAACTGTATTTCGTGCGAAAACTGCGCATGCTCGAAAATCTTTAGGTGAATAATATATGTTTGCAATTGTCGATGCCACGAGATCGATGTTTGATCGCTTGTTTAATTTTTATGCATTATTATGAGTATAAATTCATCTTTTGTATGTAGTTTACCAGATTAGGGGATAAAATAATACAGATTGGTTGCACAACTGAATTTCGTTGTAATGGTCATATACGCCATTCTTTTTGGAGCAAGTTTATTCAATCTCATTATAACAAGTAATTCAATGTCTAAAAATCATGCCAAGAAATAAAAAACTTAATTGAAAGTTTACGGTGAAATTTAACAAAGTGTCAAAGAAGCAAATTAAACGATTCTTCATTGTAGCCTTCTACTCTTGTCATCCTTAATTTCTTCCATGCAAATACGCTTGCAGCCTGCTGAAAAAGAGAATATAATATATTACTACGTTAAACTACGTTATTCAAATAATAAGACAACAATTAAAGGTGATATCCTGTCGTAATGCCGGCGTTCCCAAACGCATTGTTTACATTTTGAACTGTTATAATTTTTTGAAATAGCTACGACGAACTGTCTTCCGGCGTATTTCACATATTATTTGTTCGCCATGGTTGATCTGAACTCTATATAGAGTCTTTGTCCGGGCATTGTTATTAGTAGAACCGAAACCCGACTGGACATGACCTTTAGTATTATATATAATTATATATAATTATATATATATATATATATATATATATATATATATATATATATATATATATATATATATTGCCATAATACTGCCAAAGCATCATGGTCGTATTAGTTATATCATATAGTGATGTGTATATATGAATATTATACCTTCTGCATGCGCCAACAGCATTAAAATCTGGGCCTTTGGAGCATCTCAAGCCACAGTCACAGACACCTTCAATGTTCCATGGTCCTCCACATTTCTCCCCTCTGAGTTTTGCACACGCAACACAACAACCACAAGCGTCTCGAGTTAATCCTCCTTTGCAGTTCAGCTTGTGTAATGAAGGACAGGTTACTTCGTGACATGGGAGACAACTAAGGGCTTGGGTTGTTGCAAGGATGGCTGAGAACACCAAGGCAATAAGGAGGGTAGTCTTCATGTTCGTAGTTGGCGAAGATTGATGATTCTATGCAGAATCTTATTTTAGTATTATTATTAATTATTAAAACTTTATTTCGACAGGATAGCCCATTCAGCCGTCGGCTGGTATCCATAGGAGCCCTGCATGTATGTCATGCATTATTAAATAAAAATACAATTTATATTTGCATGAAGCATTATAAAGACTAATTTACGATCTAGGTATAAAAGATATAAATATTCATTATGAACAATCCTATTCATAGTGAACAACAACATAGTATCCAATTATTTAGAAAATGAAATGTTAAATTGGTTGTCATGCATGCAGTCACAAAATACGATTTTGCCGTCAGCTTAGTTATTCGTTGTATAAGCGTCGTATTTAAAAATCCGTGGCCGTCTTAAGACAGAATAAATTACTACAAATCCAATTTGCCATCGTATTGGTGGAATTTTATTCAAATTTTTTCTTTGGAATTATAGGTGATCACCAATAGCTTTGTTAAAAAGGTATTTTTAAATAATAAATTAAGCCGTGATATTTATTCTACCTATGCTCCACTGTGAAATAATTAATATAATTGTTTCAAGGCACTAGTTGTCTGCTGTTCATATTCGAGTCACTTTTGGCTATATCTATACCTAGTTAAGATTTAACATAACATTATTATCTATACTGGAAACTATAATACTAGTATTTAAAGCATAATCATAATTTACCTGATAATTTCTATAAGCTCTCTTTCGTCTTTAAGAATTTGATGTTGATCTCACTCGTATCACCTGAAAATATTGGCTACTCTGAGTTAAGCCAGCTCTATTTATACATCCAGGATATAGCAATTCAGTCGACGGTTGTAAATATCGTTGTAAATAATCCAATATCTTATTTGTCATACTCAAGATGTCTTAAAGAGCCTCATTTTTGTTATGCAAAGTGGAACTGGGCCAAGTGCATACTTTGCAAGCATGGATATGACGTTGGTTTCAATCAAGATTGCTTTTCAGCGTTAAAAAATAAAATCACGCTGGTATAGAAACATACGATGAGGTAAAAACTTCATATAATTCTCACATGGCTGATGGTTCTCTTGTAAGTAACCAAAGCATAGATATTAACTATTCCGTGCATACTCGCATGGAAAGAAACTCCTTGAAGTAGCCTTAATACTCTTGTCCTCATATTATTTATTTATTCAAGAGCTGAGGAAGTAATTACTCTATAGTGATTAATTGGTTATCGTGTATCCCCGTGTCAAGGTAACCGGACACAAGTGTATCCAACCAACTTTTTAGTTATTTAGGGCCCTTTCTTTCAACGATAGTGCCCTTTCTTTCAGAAATATGCTATGTTAAAATGAAAACTCCCATGCAACCAACGAAAAATTTGCCAATTATACATGCATGCATCCGGCCGCGTGGAAACAGGGCCTTTTTAAGCCCCGTTTACACTATACACTCGATTTATTGGCATGGCACGGCTAAAATGGGTTACCGTGCCCATTTCATCTGTGCTCGGCCTTTGCTTTGGTAGCCTGAATATTAATAAAATTGGTACGGGTACCAATTTTAGCCGTGCCGTGGCGATAAATTGAGTGTAGTGTAAACGGGGCTTTAGATTCAGTAAATGAATCATTATTAACAATAACTATCTTCATGTAGTATAAGTTTTATAAACCGGCCGTCTACACAGTGTTGTAATGAGGCTTTAATGTTCAAAACTGACCTGAATTAATAAATATACCAAATCTATCAAATTAATTTGCATCTGCTGCTAATGTTTGGCAAACGAAGATTTCGTGACGAGCCGTTCAGATAAACGTGTGAACGGAGCCTTAATATAATAACTTCCCAATGACCTTCAGTAGATCACTGTTGACGCATTTAAGTACGTAGTATATATTTAGATATATGAATGGTTAGTATAATAAAATCATTTCCCCTGTGATTGAGGTCATGACTTTCCCCATGACTTTAAAAAAACATTTTGGCCTAATTTTCTGGCATGTAATGTTTGGTTCTTTTGCCTTAACTCGATTCTGCTTCACACGATTTAAAATTACTTTTTTCGTAACTCATCCATCAAAGTTTATTTTTGCATGCAAAGTCCTGTGATAATTTACAATGATTTGTTAGTTAAAGCGTGCTACTTGAAGTACCGTTGCATGGTACTTAAAAACGGTAACGGTGCATAAACACCGTGTCAACGTCAACGATATGACATCGAATGACAAGTAACAGTATTTATGTCATCCTTAACTGAATGCATGGAAGATTGCTCAAAATCAATATCACAGAATAAACTATTGAAATTGGGCAATTCTTGCAGACTAACTAATTAATTATCATAAGTTCACAAGCATTTTATACAACCGCCAAATCTTTTTCACCATGCGTAATAAAGAAGTCATGCAATAATCATTTTGCAGTATTTCTTTTTGTTTTATTCATTTTATATTTTTATACATTTATCGCTACAAAGCTTGAATACATGTAATATGACATTATTTTAAGGACCTGTTTTTATGGAGCGAGTTATCCCGGCTAGGCGAGGTGAAAACTGAATATGATAAAAGACTAATCAGGTTAAGCCTTTGATCTGATTTTTACCTCACCTAGCCGAGATAACTCCCTCCATGTAAAGAGGCCCACACAAGTACATCCCCCCATGACAAGTACATTTAACAGCCGGTCAAAATATATTATAACGCATACCAGTCTACAGGGTGTCCCAAAAAAACGAAAACTATTGAAATCACCCATAACAATGCAATTGTTAGAGTTTGAATGCCTAAGCACTCTGTTGGGACCCACAGGTTTACCATACTCATTCTTACGCATGCATATGATGCAGTAAAATTTGCTTGTACGCAAAAATGATATTTATTAACAATATTTACAGTTTACAAATATGGATAACAATATTTAAATGTGCATCTCAAGGACCATGACCTTCGACATGTCCCCTTTCTCTAGCAACACAAAGCATTTAGCATTTTATAAGTTGCATTAAATCCCCACGGGCTGAAATTCGTGAACACGGCATTCAAATTTTAACACTGAGTGATTTCAATAGTTTTCGTTTTTTTTGGGACACCCTGTATAACACCATTGACCCGGGCGTTTCGCTCGGTTGGTTAATTGTTTCCCCATGACGTCAATGAGATCAGTGCTGATTTCGATTCATGGCCGGGGAAATGAATGAGATCTAACCACTTACACTGCGCACGATACTCGATAGAAGCAAGGTAGCTGCATGTGTTGACTTCACGTAACCTTTGTTTCATTGCTACAGAAACGGCTCTATATAAATTATATCACACGCGATTTTAAAGTGCCACTGTGACGAAAGTTTGTCATCAAAAAGTGTGAAGTATTAATTGTTATAATTTCAAAAGGTTTTTTGCCAACAATGTCCTGAAATTATATCCGCAATAATAATATACAGTACTTAATTTAAAAATATAAGACCAACGGCAACGTCAATGTCAATGACAAGATATTATGTGACACGTATATTTGTCAGCCTTATTCGTGTAAACGATTGTTAAAAATTAATATGGTATAATTATCATAGATCCATGCATACTAGTCTATAAATGAAACGAAACTGCTCATTTTTAATATCGGCTGATTTATCACTATTCAGACACATCGGAGTCAGCTTATATACAACATTAAGCCCGCCGCACACGAGAGCTATCAGTTGAGCTAACGACCTCGCGAGGCAGTTAGCTCAGCCCAAAAACCATCTGCCCACGTGAGAAACTTGCCTTTCGAGGCGAATCCCTCACGAAAACGGCTATCCGCACAGTGTAGACCAGCCCCTGAAGTACACTCTTGAATAGAAGATTGTTTGAAAATATCATATCTATAGGTATCCTTCGTGCCATATAAAATCATAACTAGTGTGGTGCATCATAACCTAATAATCTATAAGTATAATTAACAAAGGTATCAGACTATAGTCGTACAGAATTGTAGTCAAGATACTTAATGCACAGGTGTTACAAGCAGGGTATCCGAAAAAAAAGCGCAATTGGCAATTCAAACTTTGCAATCCAAAATTCCTTAGAAACGCATCGTTGAAAAGACAAGTGAGCAGGCAAAGAGAAATTAGATTATTGGGCTCCCTGTATACGACAGGGGTCCCCGTGGGGCAACATCTTGGTTCTGACTCGTTAAGTGAAATATACATGACCAAATATGGTGTCGAAGAGGGGAAAAGTAGACAAATTCTACGTTTCTAGATTGTCGCACGACTTTACTGTTGAGGCGTTCTCTTTAAAAACCACAGTGCCCCAAAACGCTGCCATTTCATAAATCCGGAATTATAGCAATACTCAATTTTATACACGTTTTATACGGAAAAAGAGATATAATTGTAACATCAATTATTCTTAACCAGTGGCGTAGCCAGGCTGACGATTTTGTCCCGCTATGTAAATTTCGAGTTATTATAATTATTCGTGCCTTTAGAAATCTATTGTTTTCACAGTCAGTGAACACCAAAATATTAGCATAGCGGGACAAATCGACAGGCTGGCTACGCTACTGTTCTTAATAATCTACAATCCAATTAACAATCGATTGGTTATCTATAAATGTTATAATGAGACGTGGATAAATAAAAACTGATCGTTTAAAGAGTTTCTTCAAAGCATTCTTATTGCTCTTGGTTTAGTTTGTAGTCTTGAACAATTTTCTGAAATGGGAAAATATAACAGTTATAAAAAATTAAAAAATCAAACCTAAATCCATATATCCTATAGTCATAAAGCCAAGGAGATCGACATAATATTTAGTTTGCTGTAAAGTGAATATCTATGATTAGTAAGCATTAGTTTACGAGGCTACTACGACCGACCTGGACCGACCATGCATATTCGCTTGCATGCATGTATGAATGGCGCTGTACAATTGCCAGCCCAGTAGAACACACCACCTCTGACAAAAACTCACGCATCTACAAATATACCTAGAGAATTCTTGCTGAAAAACTAATTACACCCGCCCTTGCTTTACCATCCTAAACACTGCTAACAGCCTAACATCTCCTTCTCTCTTTAAACTCAAGGAAGCTCTTTACGCACAAACCAGACCGTAACAAACAGGTCCAACGTTTTAATTCTATTTTCCAGTTATAATTTTTGTCTGTCGTTGTCTTGTTCTGCCTAATATGCATATCTTGTATCATAATCCAACTGTCATAGAATATCACCTCGTCCTCGGATATATCATATTTCTACCTTACTGATATACTTCACTATGTAAATAATTATCCTGTTCCCACTGCAAATGGTTTATATAGTTAAGTCGAAACATGTTTTCAATATTTTTTTCCCTTTATCTCAAATGCTTGTAAGAAAAAAGCTCGAGGTTGAGACAAGAGTTTGCATTTGCGAAATATCACAAATTAAACTCTGTGTTTTGTGTTTTGTTTTAAATTCTTTGAAATTTCCGGTTTGTATTCGGGTTTTTACCTTAATTTTTTGCATACCCCCGGAGCATTGGAATCGTGTTCATTGCCACCTTTGTAAACACATTTCAAACCAGTGTCACAGACGCCAGCCATGTCCCATGGTCCTCCACATGTCTCTTCTTCGACCTTTGCACACTCATCACAACAACCACAAGGCTCTCGCGCTAGTCCTCCTTTGCAGTTCAGCTCGGATGGTAAACGACAAGTTACTTGGGGACATTGGAGACAACTAAGAGCTTCAGTTGTTGAAAGGATGGCTGAGAACACCAAGGCAGTAAGGAAGATAGTCTTCATGATCGTAGTTGGCGAAGATTAATGATTCTATTGAAAACAAGTTTTCAGAAAATTATAAATTTTTCATTTCAAAGAGTATTTCTACATATAACAGCTTTCTTTATACGCCATGACGTAAAATTGCATGCATGTAATATGGAAATAATGAAATTATATCCTGAAGAACTATTTGAGTAATGTTTAAATTCGAGTTGCAGCTAGGATTGGACATACCCAAACTTATATTGTACTTTTTATTAAAACATAATCAAAATCGTACCTGATATATATTTCTCAATCACTCTTGTCTGTTAGGCATCCAATGTTGACCGTACTCGTATCACCTGAAAATATTGGTTGCTTTGAGTTGGACTAGCTCTATTTATGTTCTTAGGATAAAGTAAATCAATAATGGTGAACTGGCCGATATCTTATTTGCTTTCCTTAAGTTGTCTCAAGTGTTCTAATTAATGTTTTAAGTGGAAATGCGTTCGCTACCCTATTTAGCAGCCTGGTCATTTCTCACATGTCACCGATAGTCGGTTGTTTGCCGGCGACGAACAAAGTTTATTTAAACTAACAAAGCACTTCATTTGTCAGTGATCACCGACAGCAGACATCGCCCACTGTCGGTGACCAATGCATGATGACCAGACTTTAAGGCGGTGTCCGTTGCGTTTTACAGTTGCGTTTTTACCGTTGCGTTTCACCCCCGTCCAAGACGCCGAACTTTCTAGTGCCAAACGTTAACCTAATCAGCTAATGTTACGCACCCTTCAAATATCATCACCATGAAGTGTTAGTGAAAAATTTATTATTACTATATGCGAAATCACCTTTAGAGTTACTATTCAGTATTAATTTAGTTCCCCTAGCCTGCAACGCAGACTATATATATTGGGGTTAGGGTTAGGGATATATAGGGTTATATATTAGGGTTATATATAGACCCCAATATATAGTCTGCGTCGGGCTATAGTTCCCCATGACTCCATGTGAAACAGTGCCGACCGTTGTATCTAATATATTTACTGCCCATGCATCTGCGCGATAGAGATAGAAAAACATTTTGACTTCGCCTTATAAAGTTGTCCATTGGTTCGATGGTATCGACTGCATATAATCATCAACGCTATTTTGAATTTCCTAAGTTTTAACACTTCAAAATTTATTCCTCTACATGCGAAGTCGTAAAAACCTAAAACAAACCTAACCTATATAAGTGATGATATGACATTATAATAAGTACATTTGTGTTGACAGCCTTGAAGAAGGTTGTTTAAAAATATGATGTTCCCCTGTCGCAATTTTTAATAGCGAGCTTAAATGCATGGTGACAGATACTGGTCGCAATTCTGTTAGCCCACTTTGGTTCATTTGTATTAACTTATCATGACCCTCCCACGGTTTTAGCTGTCCTGAGATACGTTAGTAAAAGCGGGGCACTGGAAGTAACCGTTGAATGGTAATGATATTATCTGACAGATACATTAAACAGTCCTGCCTGTGCCTGAGATGAAGTCAAATGTTATAACGTACATCATTCTTGAAGTTCTAACTTGAGTGGTATGTCAAACTTTAATAATAAGCTGGTCATAAAAAATATAATATATAGCTGTAGTTACAGAATTATATCCTTTTTTAATAAGGACGTAATGTATGTAACAGTAATTATAACTGGATGAACATTCTAGTCCTTCTACTCGAATACCGATTTAAGCCATTTTCCACCATGCGAATTCATTCGCGCGAACAGATAAGAAATAGGAAGCGATTCTACTTTTTCGCGTTGAATTTTTTCGCAAGCTAAAGGCCGACACAGACCGGACGCGAATTGGCAACGCGGCGCGAATTTTCAACGTTTTATATTTTTCAAAATCAAATAAATTTTAAACTATCATAATATTCTTGTAGATTACATAACAATAAAACATTTTAACTGCTCTAGCGTCCATAGTTTCCAAATTTTGCTTCCAGAATTTAATTTATATGCTTCTGAAAACTCAAAATTCGCCTCGCGTTGCCGCATCGCGTCCGGTCTGTGTCGGCCTTAATCACATCACCAGATTTCAGATATCGCTTCGCGTCGCGCGAATAAATTTACCTATAGCGGAAAACTGGTTTTATGGCAAGGCTGAAATAAGTAGCGTAGCCAGCATAATAATTTAGTCCTGCTATGCTAATATTTTAGTGCATGTTCATTGACTGCAATGAATTTCTGAAGAAATGAATAATGATAATAACCTTTCATTATACAGCTGCTGCATATAACATGTTGGACTTGAGTCCAATCTTGGTTCACTGGTATTAACGTCCAGTTATCACCCACACACGGTTTTAACTTCAAAATTTATTTTCCGACAATACGTTAGTATATAATAGCGTGCTTCTTGAAGTTTCGTTAAATGTTAACGATATTATCTGACAGATACATTAAACAGTGTGATTGGAGGTATTGCTCTAAAATGTCCCGACATCATTTGTGAAGTTCTAACTCATGCATGGCGTGTCAAAACTTTGATGAATCTAGGTAATGAAAAAAGTTCAGTAGCTATGTATGGTAATTAGGCTCGTGACGTATGAACATTGATAACTTGATATGCGTATTCTACACCCGTTTACTTGGTTTAATTGTCATGGATGCATGTATCATACCAGTCTAAAAATGAAACGAATGGCTCGTATTTAATGTAGGCTGTTATTACTATTCACAGTCAGCTAACTCAGCTTATAAAATTATACAGAATTGAGCCCGCCGCATACAAGAGCTCTCCGAAAAGCATCCGCCGACACGCGTGAGAAACGTGCTTCTCGAGGCGAATTCCTCACGAAAAACTATCCGCACACGAGAGTATCTTGCTGACCTGACTGCCACGCGAGGTCGATCTTTAGCCTCATGCATCTAGGGTAAAAAGTACATAATATATATATAGTTTTAAAATATAGCTCTCACACACACGCATGCGAAACTTGTGAAGAAGCGATTCTTTTCCGCACGATAGAAAGTTGACGTTTAATTTAATACTTATTTACATGTTTGCAAACAAAGCCCTCAGATTGTTTACAAAAGTGTGTTATATTATAAAAGCGTGGCACTTGAAGTACCTTCAAACATCACCAAACGGTACTAAATAATCAGCAATATACAGACATATTATCTGATAAGTATATACATGAATTGTACAGGGGCAAGTTGCATCAAGCCCGTTGAGCTTAAATAATGGTGAATAAGTTCAAAGTAGCAAGCCAGTCTATCGTTTTATTCAACTAGCAAACTAAATGTCTTTAACAGCTTAATACAAAGATACTATTTACAACTACCTATTCAGTGCATAATATTCAAGAAAATTCTTTCAAGAGAAATGTAAGAGTGTTCTTTATTTTGACCGCGGCCCCTGAAGTACCCTCTTGAATAGAAGATTGTTTGAAAATATTAAATCTATAGGCATCCTTCGTGCCATAAAAACATAACTAGTGTGGTGCATCATAACCTAATAATCTAAGTATAAATGAAAAAGGTATAGACTATAGTCGTATAGTGACTCGTTAAGTGAAATATACATAACCAGAGATGGTGTCGAAGAGGGGAAAAGTACTAGACAAATTTTACGTTTCTAGATTGTCGCACGACTTTACTGTAGAGCCGGCGTTCTCGTTAAAAATCACAGTACCCCAAAACGCTGCCATTTCATAAAACCGGAATTATAGCAATACTCAATTTTATACACGTTTTATACAAAAAAAGAGATATAATTGTAACATCAATTATTCTTAACGATCTACAATCAAATTAACAATCGATTGGTTATCTATAAATGTTATAATGAGACCTGGTTAAATAAAAACTGTTTAAGAGTTTCTGGAATAAAGCATTTTTGCATTCTTGTTGCTCCTCATTTAGCTTGTAACCTTGAACAATTTCCTGAAATGGGAAAATATAACAGTTATACAAAATTCAAAAATCAAAACCATGGAATGTCAAATCTATATATCATATAGTCATCAAGCCAAGGGGATCGACACTATTTAGTTTGCTGTAAAATAAACATCTTTGCATGATTAACATCTTACATCTGTATAATGAATTGCGCTGTACAATTGCCGGCCCTGTAGAACACATCACCTCTGACAAAAACTCACGCATCTACGAATATACCTAGAGAATTCTTGCTGAGAAACTGATTACACCCGCCCTTGCTTTACCATCCTAGACACTGCTAACAGCCTAACATCTCCTTCTCTCTTTAAACTCAAGGAAGATCTGTACGCACAAACCAGACCTTAACAAACAAGTCCAACGTTTCAATACTATTTTCCATGCAGTTATAATTTTTGTCTTGTCTTTGTCTTGTTCTGCCTAATATGCATATCTTGTATCATGTTATGTTGTCAATATAGTAGTAAACTAACTGTCATAGAATATCCGGCACCTCGGATATATCATATCTCTACCTTACTGATATACTTCACTATGTAAATAATTACCCTATTTGCACTTATATAGTTAAGTCGAAACATGTTTTCAATATTTTTTTCCCTATTTCTTTTTCCCTTTATCTCAAATGCTTGTAAGAAAAGAGCTTGAAGTGTTTGCTTGCTTAATTGAGACCAAAGTTTAGATTAGCGAAACATCACAAATTAAATTTAACTCATCCTTGTCTCGTTTAATATTTTATGTTTTAAGATCATGTTATAATCTTCGGATTCTGTTTTGTTTTGTATTTTTTGAAATTTCCGGTTAGTATTCGGGTTTTTTACCTTGATTTTTTGCATACCCCAACAGCATTGATATTGTGTTCATTGCCACCTTTGTAAACACATTTCAAACCAGTGTCGCAGACGCCAGCTAAGTGCCATGGTCCTCCACATTCCTCTCTTTCGACCTTTGCACACTCAACAGCCACAAGGGTCTCGCGCTAGTCCTCCTTTGCAGTTCAGCTCGGATGTTAAACGGCAAGTTACTTGGGGACATGGGATACAACTAAGAGCTTGAGTTGTGGCAAGGATGGCTGAGAACAACAAGGCAGTAAGAAGGATAGTCTTCATGTTCGTAGTTGGCGAAGATTAATGATTCTATTGAAAACAAGTTTTCAGAAGATTAAATTTTTCATTTCAAAGCAGCATTTCTATATATAACAGCTGCCTTTATACGCGGTGACGTAAAACTGCATGCAATATGGAAATAATGGAATTACTGATATATGTCCTGAAGAACTATTTGGGTAATGTTCAAATTCGAGTTGCGGCTAGCATTGTGTACATATGTCCAAACTTATATTGTATTTTTTATTAAAACATATAATCAAAATTGTACCTGATATATATATTTCTCAATCACTCTTGTCTGTTAGGCATCCGATGTTGACCGTACTCGTATCACCTGAAAATATTGGTTGCTTTGAGTTGGCCGGGCTAGCTCTATTTATGTTCTTAGGATTAAGTAAATCAATAATGGTGAACTGGCCGATATCTTATTTGCTTATTTGCTTTCCTCAAGTTGTCTCAAGTGCTCTAACTAATGTTTTAAGTGGAAATGCGTTCGCTACCCTATTTAGCGGCCTGGTCATCTCTCACATGTCACCGATAGTCGGTTGGTTGCCGGCGACGAACAAAGTTTATTTAAAACAAAGCACTTCATTTGTCAGTGATCACCGACAGCAGAAATCGCCAACTGTCGGTGACCAATGCATGATAGGTTGCGTTTTACCGTTGAGTTTTACCGTTGCGTTTTACCCCCGTCTAAGACGCCGAACTTTCTAGTGCCAAACGTTAACCTAATCGCCTAATGTTACGCACCCATTAAACATCATCATTATGAAGTGTTGTGAATAGTGAATAATCAATTATTACTATATGCAAAATCATCTTTAGAGTTTAATTTAGTTCCCCATGCATGTGAGATCAGTGCCGAACGATGGTATTGACTACATATAATCATCAACGCTATTTCGAATTTCCTAAGTTGTAACACTTCAAAATTTATTCTTCCACATGCGAAGTCCTGCGATTACTTCCAAAGATGCGTTGGCAAAAGCGCGGCACTCGAAGTACCGTTAAAAACTATGTACCTATATATAATAGTAAAACAAACCTAACCTAAGTGATGATATGACATTATAATAAGTACATTTGTGTTGACATCCTTGAAGAAGTTTGTTCAAAAATATTATATCATAAATAAGACAACTTCTATAGTGTCACCTTTTTGGACACCCCAGTTTTGGGAGAGCCTTGTATTTACAAGGGGTCAATTGGGAACGGTTGTTCCCATGTCGAAATTTTCAATAGCGAGCTTAAATTTTAACAGTCAGACATTGGTCGCAATTCTGTTAGCCCACTTTGGTTCATTTGTATTCACCCTCCCGCAGTTTTAGCTGTCCTGAGATACGTTAGTAAAAGCGGGGCACTTGAAGTCACTGTTGAATGGTGATTATATTATCTGAAGAGTGAAGATACATTAAACGGTCCTGCCTGAGTTGAAGTCAAATGTTATAACGTACATCATTCTTGAAGTTCTGACTTGTGTGGTATGTCAAACCTTAATAAATATCAGGTATGCAGAATGATATCCTTTTTCAATAGGACCGTGATATATCATGCCAACAGAGTAATTATAACTGTATATGCACCTTCTAGTCCTTCTACTTCGAACACCGATTTAGGCCTTTTCCACCAGGCGAATTCATTCGCGCGAACAGATAAAAAGTAGAAAGCGATTCTACTTTTTGGCAAACCAATCACATAACCGGATTTCAGATATCGTTTAGCGTCGCGCGAATAAATTCGCCTGTAGCGGGAAACGGGCTAGCGCTTTATGGCAAGGCTGAAATCAGTAGCGCAGTCAGCATAATAATGTAGTCATGCTATGCTAATATTTTAGTTTTCATTGACTGCAATGAATTTCTGAAGAAATGAATAATGATAATAACCTTTCATTATACAGCTGCTGCATATAACATGTTGGACTGTTTGTCCAATCTTGGTTTATTGGTATTAACTTGCAGTTATCACCCTCACACGGTTTTGACTTCAAAATTTATTTTCCTACAAAGACCTGAGTTTATTTGAAAAATACGTTAGTATATAATAGCGTGCTTCTTGAAGTTCCGTTAAATGTTAACGATATTATCTGACAGATACATTAAACAGTGTGAGTGGAGGTATTGCTCTAAAATGTCCCGACATCATTTGTGAAGTTCTAACTCATGCATGGCGTGTCAAAACTTTGATGAATCTAGGTAATGAAAAAAGTTCAGTAGCTATGTATGGTAATTACGTTCGTAGCGTATGAACATTGATAACTTGATATGCGTATTCTACACCCGTTTACTTGGTTTAATTATCATAGATGCATGTATCATACCAGTCTATAAATGAAACGAATGGCTCGTATTTAATGTAGGCGTTTATCACTATTCACAGTCAGCTAACTCAGCTTATAAAATTATTCAGCATTGAGCCCGCCGCATACAAGAGCTATCTGAAAAGCATCCGCCGACACGCGTGAGAAACGTGCCTCTCGAGGCGAATTCCTAACGAAAAACTAAATTGTGTCAAACGACCACGACCTTAGCATATATAGCTACTGAATTTTTTCACTAGATGCGTATTCTACGTTGCAGGGCTGATTATAGTAGCTGTGAACAATGCAGAGGACAGCACACATTTATATAAAATGTTTATGAGAGCGCTTTCCTTCATACGGTACTGAAAACGGTTAGGCTGTTCCAGCGGGTCCTGTTGTACAGTACAGCCTGTACAGGCAGATTACTGGTAAGAAGTCGGCAGAACGTTAGCAGTATATCGTTATTCACATCTGCTTGACACGAAAAATACATAGAGTATCACCTATTTCAAATCAAAATATGACCATTTTGATAACCATATATGTTTCAAATATACGAAATGCGCTGTAATTTATTTTAGAAAAAAGGCAAAGGCGGTTTGTTGAAAGGATAGATAGCTTGAGTACTTCCGCTGACCGCGCGAGTTACACACATCCTCTCTTTCAAGCGTTTGTTTCTGGCCCATGACTGAAGCCCCGTTTACACTACCCTCGATTTATTGGCACGGCACGGCTAAAATTGGTACCCGTGCCCATTTCATCTGTGTCCGGCCTTTGTTTTGGTAGCCTGACCGCTAGTAAAATTGGGCACGGGTACCCATTTTAACCGTGCCGTGTCAAATTGACTGTAGTGTAAACGGGGCTTGAATTACGTTGATTCAGGGTTAATTTTTACTTCTTGAGCAAAACACTAATTTTATTGAAAGTCCTTTCTCTTGGGCTGGAATTACTGCTAAAAACTAATCAGGTTATTAGATTGCAGGAAATACATATCAGTTATTTCAAAATGAATCAAATCGCATCCCTTTTTGCAAATGAAATTGCAATATTTGGCATAATTCGGTATACCGAATATAGTTGAGTATTCTGGAAATATAATTAAGATGAGGTCTCAAAACAATCTTAACTCGTTCTTTCCGTTCGACCGACCAGTTACAAGTGTTAAAAACTGAAGTGTATTTATAATAAATTTACTAGGTAATAGAGAGGCACAATGCCAGGCAAGTACCTTGGTCAAAATTACAATTCGTAACTCTTTTTTGTCATAAATATACATGGAAATACAGAAATTTTACTGAATTACTGTGGTGGATTTAGCGTCAGTATACAATCAAAATATAATCGCACATATTTACTGATTTAGAGAAATATTAGCTTAAAGGTTTTTAAAATCATTCCATTGGTAGATTTGTGTTCTTAAACATTCTTTGGAAATTGATATCAAGCATCGTTTAACTGTTCTGTACCAATTCATTTTGACTGTACCGCTACTTCACCACTGTTGAACTAACCAATAACCCCTGTATTCAAAAAGCTCACTCACACTCACACTGAATTTTTATTACTGATCAAAGATCTAACGTGAAACACTAAAAATGAAGCTCGTATATTAGAGTGAAAATATTGCCATGCAAACGTTTTGAAAAGTTGAAATCTCCCACAGTCCCACTCAACGAGTTTGAATGTGAGTAAGCTTTTAGAATACAGGCGTTAGTCTTGCATGGATAATCATTAACTTAAACATAGTAATCAAATTTGTAAGATTGAATATATACACACATATGATTGAATATATACACACCGAATGGATGCAATGTTTGCCATGACTTTTGAAGCTACAACCGCAATTGTTTGCATTACTCTAAAGGTTACTGGGTCAGTAAAGTAATGTTCGTAATCGAAGTTTGTCCTGATTTGTGCTGACAACGGTCAAAAAAATATACAAATGGATCCACCAGAAGATTATTTCATAAACTCTCGATAAGTAACATGTGATGGACCAATTTTGGACCAACTGTCATGAAATGTACATGAAGACTGTTCTTAGGGAGAGTGATTGATTAGTCGACACTGATTTCCATCACTCCACTATTATAGTAAGTGCAAGGCTTGAGTTTTCCTAAAATCTCTTCATCCAGCGACCCATTCTTATATTCGAAACAATTTAATTGCAACATCCAGTGTGGCAAATCTTTCTTCTTGGTTCCAACGAGTATTCCAACGAATTTATCCGAGGCCAAACAATTTTCTCCCAGTTTATTCCTTATCAATGATATTTCATTAGAGCAGCGTTGATCATTATATGATAACTTCTCCTTCTGATTTTTCTCTGAGTGGAATAAGTTACACACTTTTAAATATTCTGAGGTAATAACGATGATAATCTTTTCAGCCTCCAGTAAACGTGCTTCACTCCATGCTTGTGGGTTAGTTTTGGTGAAGAGAATATCTATCACCGCGTTAATCTTCTTAGTTTTAAGCCATCTCGCCAAATTTTTTATTTCACTTTTGTTGTCCATGTGGTAGGAAACATAGTGTGGAGCACCTAGTGTCAAAGACGCATACAGTTACAATAGTCAAAGACGCATACAGTTACGAGAGTCAAAGACGCATACAGTTACGAGAGTCAAAGACGCATACAGTTACGAGAGTCAAAGACGCATACAGTTACGAGAGTCAAAGACGCATACAGTTACGAGAGTCAAAGACGCATACAGTTACGAGAGTCAAAGACGCATACAGTTATACGAGAGTCAAAGACGCATACAGTTACGAGAGTCAAAGACGCATACAGTTACGAGAGTCAAAGACGCATACAGTTACGAGAGTCAAAGACGCATACAGTTACGAGAGTCAAAGACGCATACAGTTACGAGAGTCAAAGACGCATACAGTTACGAGAGACAAAGACGCATACAGTTACGAGAGTCAAAGACGCATACAGTTACGAGAGTCAAAGACGCATACAGTTACGAGAGTCAAAGACGCATACAGTTACGAGAGTCAAAGACGCATACAGTTACGAGAGTCAAAGACGCATACAGTTACGTGAGTCAAAGACGCATACAGTTACGAGAGTCAAAGACGCATACAGTTACGAGAGTCAAAGACGCATACCGTTACGAGAGTCAAAGACGCATACAGTACGAGAGACAAAGACGCATACCGTTACGAGAGTCAAAGACGCATACAGTTACGAGAGTCAAAGACGCATACAGTTACGAGAGTCAAAGACGCATACAGTTATACGAGAGTCAAAGACGCATACAGTTACGAGAGTCAAAGACGCATACAGTTACGAGAGTCAAAGACGCATACAGTTACAGCACACGAGTACAGTTAAACGTAAACGCAATGAACGAATAATAATGATTTATAGTTATAACAATTATTTCCGCTGGAAAGAACATGCTAAAATAAACACAACTGCAAACTTTCGTTGCAGTGTCGAAATTATATATAATTATATAGTTTTAAATTAAATATAATTATATTATAAATTTTTCACTACGTGCTAAAAAATATCACATGCTGATTATTGTGAATAGGTTAATTATAAAATGGTAGCTCTGTCAAACGCACAGTGATTGCTTCTGAAGATTTAGCTATTTCGTTTGTTCAATACATCCATTGTATAAAACTAGGGATCCAAGGATAGTGCAAAGTTTTAGCTATAATGCAAATGCTGTTATACTTGTGAAAGTCGAGAGTCGAGAGTATAAAGTCGAGAGTCGAAAGTATCAGGTCGAGAGTCCTAAAAATCCCAATTTTCGCACACAAGGGGTATTTCTACTTATATATTACGTTTATTTTTACTAATATTACACTGCAGTTTACCGGCTTGTGAATTGACGCTTCATGTTTCAACTTCCGAGGTAAAATATTACTGTGATGCGTATTATATTATCAATATATTTCATCTATTATCGAGAAAACAAAAGCTACGGTAAGGTGTGCGTCTAGCTCAATTTTTACGTACATCATTATTTTGCGAGTTGTGCTTTTGAGGAATATAGCTCAAACAAACAACCCGTTCTCGCCTGAACTGAAGTATTAAATAAATGATGTAAACATTTTATAATAAAATATTTCTGAGAAGAATCCCACAAGATACTTTCAAATTGCACTATACTGTATAAAGCTTAAAGTAAATAAACCTTGCATGATTTACATAACCGATGCGTGAATCGATCACTTGTCCTGACAGCACGAAAATATAATCAAACATACTCAAATTACATTACTATAGTCGCGATATTATATATGGATATCAACCATACCAATATAATTAGCCTTGAATGCCTACTGTGTGGATCCACAGTTTTCATTTTGAAGCATTTTTTATGACAGTAAAATTGGTTTGTGCATAGGCGTACAGTACGCGGACTTTTAAAATGTGGTCGCGCAGATGAAACATGGTCTAACGTAATTAATGTAATAGTTACTTTGCCCTTCTTTTGGACTGATTGGACGCCTGTATATATTCAAAACCGATCCGTCTATTTACATAACCATATGCGCGCAATCGCACTATAGCCTACCTAAATAAAATACAAAGCACTAAATAAATAAAGCTCTATGAAGTTGTGCTGTAAGAAAACGAACTAAATAATATTAGCACCTAATTGTCAACATTTTAGCGTGAATTAACTGCAATACGTAAAATACAAAACAATCCTATGCTTCATGAAGTTTGTGTTGTCTAGCACTCTATTCAATGAAGTATATGATCTAAATAAATCGCGCAGTGTAATATTCGATGCGTGTGTTTATAACACGATGCGTGCATCAATGGATCAGTTCAAATATAGTGTTTATTACGTGTAGTAATAGTGCATGTCGTGTAGCACCTTAGCATACCATTTTTAACCTGATAATACTGATCGGCACTTGCTAGTAATATCGCCATTTGCTTCAGATTTGTACATTTTAAACAGAACTGTCTCGCTCCATTGTTTCTCTATAACAAATAGTAATTATTAAGCACTGTTATGGTTAAAAAATTTTTAACCTCCATAGTCAATTATACAGCAGTATCAATTGCTATCAACACATGTTAGATTCGTGAAGTACATTATCAAAATAAGTCGTGTATATTATGTTATGCGTGTAGTTAAAATACGATAGTGGATGTGGACGTATTCTTTCTTGGTTCTGCGTTTAATGAGTTCACAAATTCTCGAACATTTGCTCGCTTTTCGCTTAAAATATTTCAAAACAACACTTCGTCGCTCCATCGCTCCTTATTGTATTTTGCGCTTCTGAATATTAATCGCGGCCTTATGCGCATTAATGCGCTGTTCAAGATGAAATCGCGTGTACCGGGGGGAACAACACACATATCATCGTAACGAATGTTATAAAATTTACAATAACCACAGTAATTCTTTCATATTTTGTTTAAATTGGAAAATGCTAAAAGAATATACAAATCAAAAAACTATATACTTGATCAAACAAACTTCCTGATACCCACCCACATAGGATCAAAGATGACAAACAAAAAACACTCCGCCCCCCGGAGTTTACACTATGACTGACTGACTGACTGTCTGATGTGAATTTTCGCCACTCACCACAATACTGCAAAGTTTCACAGAAACTTTGCACTAAAAACAAAAGACATTTATTTCGACAAGAAATATCATGGATCAACGACACAATCAAGCCATGAACACGTGGATGGACGGCATGCGCGTGGACGCTGATGTAAAAAGTTTTAAAAAAACCGTACGATTGTTAAATTGCGATGATTTGCTGGGGCAAACCTGAGCAATGACGACGAACGATATTGTGAAACAGATTTCAAAAACCTGAGCAACCTAGAGTTTCCAGGTACATGCGAAACAACCAGACAACTCTCTGCCTGAGGGCAATTTAAATTCTAATCCTGATTGCACATCCTCAAAGTACAACTAATAAAATACCGACTTTTTAAAGACGGGAAACTTTGGAATCTTTTCTGCGAAGCACATGAGAATAATCAACGTTATTTGTAAATGACATTAAGCATCTTACCTTTATCGTGGGTCTCATACGAACGTATGATCTTATTAACACTTGATCTTCTTTTGTAAAATAGAAGAAGAAGGACGAGAATGGCGATAGCAATACAAGTAATAACAATCGAGAAAACCAGCTTATTCACGACAGGCTCTATACAAAATAAGGTCAATGATAATTAAAAAAGAATTTGACGCTAGCAGTAGTTTAAAACTCGTTTATTTGCATACTATTATCAGTTAGTTTTCGCTGTCAACAGGTTTAATCCATAAAAGTATTTGGCGTAGTCAGTATTTATATTTTTGTGAGTGTTCAAAATTATTCTTACTATCAGAAGCGTTGTTTTTTTTGCCAGGTCGTGGTACCTCGTTTTTGAAAGTCGCTGAATACAATAAAAATTGAAAACAGTTATTAAAAGTATAATTGTGTTTACGGCAGGCACAGTAGGTAACCATGTGTTGAGTTGAAGGCTATTTCAGTGGCTATTTTTGTTGAGTTTTGCCAAGGGGCCTCGATCATTACCTCATGTTCTAACGTCAGCTGAAGGTTAAATTTGATTATTCATACCGTGAGTGGTTTTTGCTGAATTTGTTTCCGACTTCATGTTCTTGTCTGTAGATGTGCCTGGTCAAAACAAAATTAAAAACCTATATTAGGTTTTACCTTAAAAACAGATATTATGTTATTATTGTTTTTACAGGTGATAGGATTGTAGCATACGAGCAGGGCCGTTGCTAGAAGCTTAATTGCATGGGAGGGGTTATGTTCATATATTCATGTTTGTACCACCGTAAAAAACAATAGCAAACAAAAGAAATCAGTTGGGCACAGTGGTCGGACATAAGACGAATATATGAATATGCACACATAGCCCCCCCCCCTAGCCACGACCCTGCACTCGACAGTTGTGCACTATCACTAGTTAAGCGAAATATCTCGCGAGGCATGCACAATTGTCGCCAGGTTTCTCTCGACACTCATAATATTTGTGAGGAATTCATTTCGCGAGCCATGTCAATTGGCATTTGTCGCCATTTTCATGCCCTACTTCAAATGTGCCGATCACAATAAATATAAGAGATGAGAGGCTAGACTGTGATCATTCTCTTTGATGCAAAAGGGAAACTCTGGACCTAAGGAGGTAACCCTGAAGTATGTTTGTCCAGTTTCATACATTGCGGTCAGTGTTACTACATATACTTGTGGGCTGTTTTAGCTTTAAATTTAGCTGTTTATTCCTCCATGACAAAAGCCCTATACAAATGAACTGTGTTTTCACCTGACTCGTACCTTTATTGCTCTCTGTTGGATTTGTTTTTGTTGTATTGGTGTAATTGTTGAAGGGTGGATCTACCAATACAAAAAATGAAAGAATATTTTTAGTTAAAGACGGACGTCTGAAAAAGTAAACTGAGAACTATCTATGAAGACAGTGGCGGCATTCAACCATGTAATAAAACGCGTATCAACTGATTGAGGACGTAGTCATTAAAATGATCTATAATATTCCGTCTTTACAGAAGATCTTATTAAAGCAAAATGTCAGAGATCAGAAACCTGAGCAGCTTGGAGGCTCGAATGTGCGATGAGTAAACGTTCCTCCTTCAGTCATTGGCAGTGGTAATATCTGAAAAATATAATTTGCTGTGTATTAATTAATATTAAGGGAGTTTGGCAAACCTCACTTTTTCGCCCATTTAGAAAAAAATTTCGAGTTTTTTTGGACATACTCGAAAAGATTTCGACTATTACGCTCAAGCAAACTACGCCATTGGCATACAAATCGCATTTGAAGCATAAAAAATGCAGGCGGCTTTCCAAGAATCACATAACAGAAAAATCATTATGCATAATTTTTATTACGTACCGAGATACCCAGCTTTTCTTTGCCATCCCATCCTTTTGACGCGTCTATGATATACGATGTTACGTTCTAAAAAAGGAATAAAAATTTTCGTATATTCACTGGTTTCATCTGCATGATGATTCACTGTGACACTACTCGACTTTTAGCACTGTTCTGGGTTTCCTGTTGCGATTGTTTCAAATAATTTTGTCACAAAAAGTGAAATCTGGTAATTAATCTGTCATTATTATACACTCTTGTCATTTTGCATGGTGAATAACTACAGGGTGTACCAAAAAAAACCGAAAACTATTGAAATCACTCATTATTGTTAAAATTTGAATGCCGTGTTCACGAATTTTAGCCCGTGGGGATTTAATGCAACTTATAAAACGCTAAATACGAAAATATTGAAATTGTGAATATGATTAAATTTAAATTAGCCTTGTTATTGCTTCGAAAGTAAGTGGTACAGCTGACCGCGGAACAACGAGTGTTTATTGTGATATTATCCCAACAGAGGCTTAGGCATTCAAGCTCTAACAATTACATTGTTATGAGTGATTTCAATTGTTTTCGGTTTTTTTGAGACACCCTGTGTATTAATGTTAGTTTGTTGGTATACCACGTATATATTCAAAGCCTTTCATTAACAAACATGCCTTAAAGACCCATGTCGGGGCATTTGCAGAAAAGACTAATAAAATTTAATTCAACATCTAAAGCGCTGGTTAAAAGTCTATACAATACATAATTGCATACCTTATCTGCGATTTGATCGCAGAAAGTGCCCCAGGTAGCAGTGTCCCAAATAATATAATAGCCAGTACACTCATCTCTCCCAGCTACAATAAAGATTAAATCATTGAATGTAAAATTTACATTTAAATTAGTTCTTATTTATTTGGAATAAAAGGCGTCGGATCTTATAGTGTGAAACGGACCTCTAATCAAAAGACACCTTTTTATATTGTTATCATCATCCATTATGAGGTTTAATAATGACTACCGGAATTAGCTTATATATAACGGATTTGGATCTCTTATGTTAAAATTTTACCATGTTATATAACAGCTGTTTACGTACGTTCAGGTGTCGGTATTCCCCAAGTGATAGCCGCTGCTCCTGAATTCTTATCTTCCGTACATTTCGCAGTCCAGTTAAGGCTTCCCGCACTAATTAAAAATCCATTTGTAGACGTTGGCCATGGCGTGCGGAATCCTTTAAATGTATTGGCAAAAGATTGAATTTTTTAAAATCCATACTATAGAAATATGCTACACCCATGGATACTGTTTCCATACTATATATCCGTAGTATAAAAATGGCATTATATAGTATTGATATTATACATTTCCATAACATGGATTTTGAAAAACATTTCAATGTTTGCATCAAATAACAACTGCCTAAAATAGACGAAACGACGTTTCGACCCAGAGGACCTTCGTCAGAAGAATTAGTATGAAAATAAAAAAGAGAGCACACGTTTCAATGGGGGGTGGGGACGTGATAAGAAGAGACACATGGAGAAAAATCAAAATAAAATTGGAATATCATTACGTTGCCAAAGAGACGCCAAACCGTGCCCTTGGAGATCCTTCTGGGTAAAAGATCCAATTAGATCTCTATAAGGGTAAAGTTTTATTTACACCAACCGTATTGACAGACCAATGCCTAATTGTTGACTATTTTTATCCGTATATAATCAGGCGTCTCTTTGCCAGCGTATTAAACGAAATTCTTGGTAACCGTATAACTGAGTTAGTCATACTAAATCTCCTGACAAAGGTCTTTTTCTAGAAGCGTCGAGAAGTGTTTTTTCCCATTTTATAGGCAGTTGTTCTATACGAGATTATAATTAAATGCAAAGTTGTTGTAGATGCTCCAGCCTGCTCCCTGGTTATAGTGGAACGTTATTAGATGCTATACATATTATATACCGTCTTTAGTATCTTGCACGTTGTTCTGTCTACTAGAATATACCGATTATGAACGCGTTGCGGCGAAAGTCATATTGCGATACAAAACATTTTATAACAAGCAGTTAGCCATGACTTTATTAGAGACAGGACAGACACTCTCTGATACGATACAAGATCTTCAACTTACGGTATGAAGACAACGGTCGTTTAGTTGAGGTCACTTGCTTCACAGCTTGTGTCTAGAATATAATAGTGGGTGAAAAATATGCAAATTTAGTATTTACAGTAGTATTTTCATATAAATAAATTTCTTAAATTTCTCAAGTAAATTTCTTAATAAAATGAACTTTGACTTACACTTTTTTGTGTTGTGTTGACACCTCTTCTTACTCTAAATTCTAAAGGTGTCATAAGAATTATTTCATATATATCGAATTGGGTACATGAAAGCTATGTAGGTATATAGGTATATAGGTATATAGGTATATAGGTATATAGGTATATAGGTATATAGGTATATAGGTATATAGGCATATAGGTATATAGGTATATAGGTATATAGGTATATAGGTATATAGGTATATAGGTATATAGGTATATAGGTATATAGGTATATAGGTATATAGGTATATAGGTATATAGGTATATAGGTATATAGGTATATAGGTATATAGGTATATAGGTATATAGGTATGTGGATATTGTTTTGCCAAATGTTGTAAAATGTAAGTGGTAAGAAAAATAAATAGAACACAACAATAAGGGTAAATATATTGAAATCGTTTTGCAAAATGTTGCAAAATGCTAGTTGTACGAAAAATAAATAGAACACAACAATATTACTAAATATATGAAAATTGTTTTGCCAAATTGTTGTAAAATGTAACTGTTTTCTCTCTTCACCTGTGGTTGATTAATTTCATTTAACTGGCTTCAATATGAAACACGCATACTCGGTATAGCTGGAGCGACTTTCCAGGAAAGATGTTGAATAATTAGGTTTATTATATGGCTTTTCTATTCTTGGCCAAGATCCTCTATTCTGATTGCTTGTCGAGCGGTCACCGTTATAGGTCCGTAAAAACCAATATCCGGACCGTTGTCCGAATACTTCGCATCTGGACCAGTGACCGGGATGTCTCATGTAGTTCAGCCATATAATAAACAGATTATTGACCTCGCTTGTTCGATCTGTACTGCGAAATACAGTACCGATATCAGACCGATATTTCACATGCAGTACAGACCACAAGCTCGGTCAAAAATCAGTTAATATGTGCGTGCATGGTAAATTTACCTCTGAGAGTGCTTCTGCTTTCTCCACATAATTTTAACCTTTGTTTGGTTGCCTGCATGGAATATCAAAAACAGTGGAATGACCATACTATAGAATTTTTCTTATTAGTACAATGTGCAGTCATGAGATAATTTAAATTGTAAAGAAGCGCTTGCAAGATAGAAAAATTTTAAACTAGGATATAGCCAGGCGGAAAGCGAATTCGAAATTCACGGCCGAGAATATATAAAGCTAGTGTGGCTTTAAAATCAAATGTGCAACAAATCGGTTTATTTTTTACTTCAATTATTTGTTACTATTTGTTATTTGCCTAATCTGGATTTAACCAAATTTTAGTGGTATATAGATTTAATGTCTATTCTATTATGTTCCTAAATTTTAAAACTTAATCCGAATAATTTTAAAATACGGAATTGGCATTTTTTGTTTTACACGCAAAAAATTGATGCGATTTCTTGAAAGCTATTTTCCCACGCAGACGGGCATGAAGAAATTAGCTGATAGCTCACGTTCTCGGTAAGTTCGTTTTGAACTTAAATTTTACCGTGTGCAAGCTTCAAGTTTTCTGTGCAAGTTAGATTTTGTTGAGCATTTATAAATCTTTTTGCTCACCAAATTTGAAGTCTATAAGTATTGAGAATTGCGATGAAGTACCGGGTGGCGCAAAAAAATGTTCCCCCTCTTAGACTTATCGTAATTAAAAAACTAATACAGATATCTTATTCAAATAAAGTTTGTTGAACGCTGTGATGTCTAACTTAAATTTTGATATATGTCTTGAACAATTCTGTAAAATATTAGGCGAGATCGAGCCGTTTAAAATAAAGGTGCATTTTTTGACGAAGCGAATAACATGACTAAATATCGCGACTCAACTAAGTTATTTTCAACTTCCACGATAGGCGTTCTTTAAAGCGTTTTTTATGTTGTCTTTGCATGGTTAAAGATTCTTAGATTAAAGTATTCGAAGTATAAGTGTATTTGATGTTAAGATAATACTGTTCATCGTTCGAACAAGGAGTTGCAATGCACAAGGGAACGAAAGCAAAGGAGCTTGCCCGCTTTGTTATAAACATGCCTCGTTTAACGATACAGCAACGAGTTTGGATTTGTTTGGAATATGCGAGGACTAATAATGCAAGAGAAGTTTTTCGTCGATGGCAAAATCATTGGAATAATATTCCATCTCCGAGCATAAAAACAGTGAGGATTTGCCAGACAAAGCTATCAATATTTGTTCTTACTGCTGCGTGCTGTTTTCATTCTATTTTAGAACATTTTTTGCTTCTCCCAGAAACGCTATATACCTTGAGTTTAAACGCCTATATCTTGGCTAATATTGTATAGAAATGTACAAGGCTTACATTAAAATTTAAGTTAAACACCACTCCACTCAATAGACGTTACTTGAAAATGATATCATTTTTAGTTTTTAAATTAAATTAAGTCAAAGAGGAGGAACATTTTTTTGCGCCACCCGGTATATACCCGAATTCCCGCACTGTCATGTTACACGATGCAGTTTCTCTTGCAACTTGCAATACAATCTACTTTTAAAAGATGTAAATAGCTGCATGTAAGTTTATAGTCTTCAAAATGTGATGTGTAAGAAACGTCCTTAGGGAGTTAACGCGGTTTCGTATAGTTGCCAAATTTAGATCTCTCAAAAGTAACATGGTATTGCAAGTTGCATGAAAAATTGCTCCGTGTAACAGGGCCTCAAAGGAAATCCAGTTCTCTAGGTTTACGCTACTATATATTAACATGAAAATGAGGCTCTACCCGGCTGCGCATGCGCAAATTGCTGTTCGCTTCGTCTGTAATGATTGCGTGACTCATACATTGACATACCAGTATAATCATGAAATTGATCAATAAACACGAAGACAGGTATTGTTTTGGTGCTTGGGTCTTTTGAGAAGAAATTAAATATTCAAAACGTATCGGATATCAAGATTAAATGCATGACACCAGTATTTTTAAACACAATTTATACTCCGCCATATTTGCAAAGATATACGAATCTCGTTCCACATTTCGATGATAAAACGGCAGGAAAACGCGGCTAAAAGAAGGAGCGGAAACAGTGGTGTCGACAACACTATGAATCAGTCGAATTATGAATCGTTGACGCGTGATGATCAGGGGCCAGATGTATGAAACCCGAATAGCGCTATCCACCTACATAATAGTGATTTTTTCAACCGTTTTAAAAATGCTCGAAAAGCGAAAAAATTTTATCTTTGGGACCAAAAATCATAAAAGAGGATCCTCGATTTAGGAATACTAAGATTTAATCAAAGTTATAGCAAACAACGGGCGATTTTAAAAATCACTATCCGTTGGATAGCGCTATCCGGCTTTCATACAACCGACCCCAGATGTGGTGAAAGTTGATCAAATCTGCACATGATACTGGCTGAATATACTGCATTCTTTTTTATGCCCAAGATACTGCACAAAATTCTTCATTCCCAATTTTTCATATCCCAGAAGATGAAACCTGAAATGACCTGTGTGCATGTCCTTTGCCCCATCCCTTCTTTTCAATTCACCAGCAATACGAACCCGGGTACACGGAGCTGTTCTCCGCCCTAGTGTTCCTCCTCTTAAAACGACTATGAAGTCAACGAGAATGTACTATCTTCTGCATGGTAACGACACAAATACAGCACTGTCCAGAAATAACCTAACAAAAACCGCGCTTAACCTACAATCCCATGCAAATATAATATGTGCCACCTTAAGTTTTCAATGTTGATCCCCCTTCCCCCTATCTCAATGTTGTATTTTAACATGTAATGAAGACTAACACCTCGAATAGTGAAAACCATAACTACCCAACATTGAAACAGGGTGCGGGAGTATGTAGTGACTCTTTAATTTTGCATAAGATTGTAGGTCACACATCGCGGTTGAACCGACGTCGAACCGCGGTGAGACGGAGGTTTAACCTGGGCCTAAATCGATCTGACAGCCATATTTTAAGATGTTTTCGATATGATTATTGTGTTGTCGTTCTCAACCGTTCACAACATTCCGTTCGGAAGCGAACGACATTCGCGATCGTATTTTTTCGCTTGCAGTCGTCTGCAGTTTCTATCGATCGACCGTAACGAACCGCAACCGCAGTGTTAGGTCATTTCTGGACAGTACTGTACTTTCATATATTACGTTCCTTCTTCCATCGTATGTATCACTAGTGTTTCATTTTGACTACTCCCTCACTTTTTCTCAAAAAACAAAAGTATTTTTCTAGAGACATCGCATTATTCTCTACCCTGACTCAAGGTAATACGACGTGTGCCTGAGCCCTGTAATGCTTGGTAAATCTTACGTTCGACTAATTTAGCCACTAAGCTTTTTTTAAACATCAAAAAAGTTTAATTAGTAAAACGTTCTTGCATTGCCCAGCCTTGCTCTGTCATACAAAGTAAACTAAAATCTTAGCCCCCACCCTCCCCCAAATGTTCAATTTCATGGCGCCGGCCGTGCCTGCTTCTGTCCCGTTGATATCATTGAGTGGCGTAAAAACCTTTCCTTGAGATAACTGCAGAGAAAGTAATCTCTGGTCGTTTAATCTGGGGGGCAATGTGATGTTGTCACAGGATACAAACATTCCTTTTTAAAGACGAGTGGACCAATAATTGAATCATTTCTTCAGACGCTCATCCAAACAGTCAGTTTAATCCTCTTATTGCGCCAGGCAATCATGAAATCAGGTGGCCGGCCTCTTTTGGTGCGAATGGCGGTATACTGCATGAATTAGACTAGAATTTAACTATTTAAACTGTTTAAATTAAACTATAATTTACTTCCCCATTCGTTCATACAAACCGCCTATCACTAATCACAAAATTTTCCAAAAGCAAAGTCAACTTAGTTGTATATCGAATGCAAATTTGTTAAAGATGCCAATGCAAATGCAGTCTCGTGGATGTTGATTTAGCAGGAAGCCCAACACGGGATCTTCAAAATGGGATTAAAATTAAGCTTAAAAATTATAATTTACGCGTTTTTTTATAGTGTCTCCGTGGAATGTGTCTCCGAATTTTTTTTAGTAAGATATTTGAAGTACTGCATGTATTGTCTATTTTGACTACTTGAAGGGATAAATTTTTTATAAGATAAAAAAGCTATTTAAATCTTATATTTCAACAACAGAGATTAACGCGTTCCTACCTATTGCCATTTCAAACACATGCGTGATACGTGATTCAAACACGAGTTGTTTTAGATTCAAAACTGATTACAAATATTTATACATATGCAACTTTCCTTGCAACTTGCAATTTTGCAATTATATTTTTAGGGATGTTTGCAAAATGCTCAGATCGAAAAAGTTATCGACCGTAAAAAATCTGTTCTTAATCGTACTTGTCAACTTTAGATGCCTCAGGAGTGGAATTGCATTGCAAATTGCAAGGAAACTCGCATAGTATAACAGCGCCTCAACATTTTCGCTTGACGATTGAAGAATGCAACAAATTGAAGGATGCAAGAAATTAAACATGACAAATATTAAATCGTTCAGCTCACTTAACAACAAAAAGATGAATAAATTAATACATTAAACGTGAAAAATGATATTTACAGGGGAAATGAGACGAACAGCGTGGCAGCAGCGTGCTAAGACCTAAGTGCATGTTGCATGGGTGAACATGTGTAAAATATTAGGAAATTTAAGAGCAACTAAATCTATACAACGCGGGCGTGACATAAACACAGACGCTAGTGTTAGCAAATCTAGTTTTAATTAGTTTTTCACACGATTCTGACTTTGTTTACCAAAAGGAGTTTACAGTTTTTATTCTTGTTTTGAAACTGTGGAAATAACAACAGTACTACTTCGTGTCCGCGGCGTTCCTTTGCATGGTGCATTGGTTAAGCCCCCTGTTATATTTACACTCGGAAAATAAAGAGACTTTTCTTAGGAAGTTTTGAAATCCGATAAGTACCATGTGGCATGTCATATCACATATTTTGGGAGAGGATTTGACGGAAATTTGAGTCAAGATATAACATAAAAAAGCGAACTGAGTCAATACCAATGCAAGGTTTGACTGCATGCTACCATCAGATGTTGCATCTTTGTTGATACAGAGCTAGAAATATTAGAACTGACGCCTCTAATGATATATGACTGTCTAAAATATGATAAATTTGACAGCTAGATCCCACTACTCAGCAGCCAATAACACTAAAATATGGTATCTTTATACCGCTGGTATTTTCGAAAGCTCACCGACCCTCGAGTATGCCACCGAGGTTACATTCTTTACTGTTAGGTTGTAGACGCATAAGCCTTTCCTCAATCAATGGTAAGGCTGGTTAAATATCTAAAATTCCCTCAGTATGGACAATATACCATCTATGAGTAGCTATACGGGGACTTTGATCTCAAATTCTAAGGCGAGAATGAGACATTGAGAAATAAATTTACGCGCACGTGCCCCTACAGCTTACACAGTCGTATCTTTGGGTCATTATCTATAGGCCACTACAAGCCCGTGCACGTTTTTCGGAAATTTTATCGACAAGTTTACAGGAACACAACAATAAGACCAAATATTCGTAACTTTGTCGATCAAATATCGATCAAGTCATGCGTTTCTTGTAATTTGTGACCAGACAAAGCTTTTGCCGCCTTGCTCAACAGTAAAGTCAAATGTCAATAGCTTAATAACTGAAACTAAGTTAAATGCATCTGATATATCAAAACCGGGAAAAAGTTATTGAAGTCTTACCATATTCGAAGCAAGGGTAGCATTACCTTGGCTAAAACTCTATACGCTCAATATGCAACATAATAAGGCTTTAAATGTTATGATTCTAACTTCTAAGCAGACGTCGACGACGCTAACCGAAGTATTGTGTGTAAGTTTTGTGTTTGGATTTACAAATCAAACTTACCAATACTAAAAAGCCACAGAACTTAAAGATTTATCAAAGGCATACCTTTTGACTTATGGTTTCACATAAACGATCGTAGCTCTCCGAGTAGGTTCTTCCAGATCGGATCTCGTAGACCAAACACAAGACCGCCAACAGGCGAATATTCAAAATAGCAGACATTTAATATTCCGCTTATGTGAACGCGTCCAGCTGAAGGGTCGTAAAAAGATTATGGCGTCTGTGCATGAAATCAGTTGCCTCTGTCGAACTACGCGTCCATCTGCTCGAATTGAAAGTTATTTCTTATCTCCCCAAGCAGATATAAACATAGCGCCAGTTGTAGTAGCGAGCAAAATGCCACAAGGTGTTTGCGAAAGTGTCACATTTCACGAGATTAAACATGAAAAATGCATGCTATGTCAGTAAACTATTCATGTCAGATCATGTTTATATCAACCTTTTTCCATTAATGCAAGCATTTTGAATTTTTTGTATATATTTTTTGTTTCTCCCCGACGATCTAAATAACAACTTTATATGCATTAAATTTTCAATGTTTCAACGCTTTAATTTGTAGCTGGAAAAGATACAAGATATGATTAAATGATAATTTCTAACACAATGCGGAACCATCAGTTTGCAATTGAAAACTGAGTCAAAGCTGAATCAGTGATTATAATTGTATACATGCATGCATGCGTAAGGTATATATCAAGCTCTGCAGGATACTGATACTCAAATACATACAAAAAAATGCTATTAATAAAATGGCCAGTTTTTGGCCTGATAAAAAAGGTCTCATCTGCTCTTCTCACGATGGGCGCCAACATGTTAAATGCAAAACGGAGGAAGTCTATTGAAAAGACAGCTTTTTAAGTGTTTACTCGCTTGTGCAAACACATTTACTGACATTATTATAATACTCAACCTGCACTGACATTAAAACCTTGAAAGGCTTCAATTTTTTGGCAAGTACAAGCAAACTGTAGATCACTAGCGTTCCTATCCCTAAGCTTTCAGCTGTTTATTTTTTAATCGCAGGAATATAAGGAGTAAGATACTCGCTTCATATGTCTACTCTAGCGCTAATATACTAGAATACTTCAATACTTTCCTGGTCTGACCTTACTCTTGACGAAAGACTATACTGCATAAACGGCAGCCTGCCTATGGCAGTCAATAAAACCTCTCCTGAGAGCAGTCACTGTGTAATCCGCTTTACTCTTGTCCTATCAAAATTCATGCAATCCTTTTTAGACTATTTAAATAAACTCCATTTACGGCTTAGCTGAGAAATTATGGTTTGGAACTCTGAAGCGTGTCATGATTGGGCCTGAACCTCACCCGGTTTAGGGAGTCTCTGATAGGAACCGTTTAGTTTAGTTTAGGTATGAAATAATGCAAATTTTATTCATTTTTGTTGACTAAGACGCGAATGCATTCCATGCACACTTGTTCTATTAAATTGCAGCGATTAAAAAGACCGTTCACCAATGTATATTTCCTCACGCATCCGGGTTGTAATTATAGAAATCCTGAATTAGACTGAAATTAAAAAAGTCATAGCGCTCTGTCACTAAGCTTAGACAGTCTGATTCACAGCAGACCACGGTCAAGGTTAGCACCTGACGTAATATCAGCATGTTCAAATATGTCATGCTGTTTATTTTAACCTCCTCGTGGTACTGATGCGCTCCTGTATACTATAAAAAATTATAAATAAATATTTCTATTCGTCTAAGGCCTGTTTCAGGGTTTCTGGAAGAACGCAACCTCGTTGTTTTCCTAGAGATACAGTAGTCCTAAGTTTACCTAGAAATACGATTTTCACATTACTGCAGAGTTTTAATAGCTGATCGCTAAGCGCCAAGCAAATAATTTTTGTTCCTATTCATAATTGTCGGGTTTCTACTCGACCGCATAAGATTGAGGTAAAGTAGAAAATTATGCATTTACGTAATGAAATTTACATGACTGTAGTAAATTGACAAGCAATGCAGAACAGTCTTTAAAAAAACTTTAAAAAAAGTATATATGATGCGTTTAGGAACAAATGAAATAGATTTCCCAGGAAATTCTGGTGTTGTTTTTCGATTCAGGGCCGTAGCTAGACCACTTAATTGGGGGGTGTATATTCATATATTCATGTTTATCTACCGCAGGAACAATAGCGTACAAAAGAAATCAGTCGGGCATAAGATGAATTTATGAATATAGACCCCCCTCCAATTAAGCTTCTAGCTACGGCTCTGCTTTTTTCATACAATTTGTTTACCAGAAATTTAGTCTATTCCCGCGAGATTGTGCTACGTAATGCATTGGTAAACAAAGTCTCATTGAAGCATAATCCTGGCGCCTAAATAGTACCCGACTGAATTTATTTAGAATATAAGCTAATCTCATGATATAGCTGTTACGCAATTAATATTTCATTGGCTGACCTCCACATCTCAGATAATTTAGGTGGCCCTTCCGTGATCTGAAAATATATACTAAAGCCCGTTTTCGAAGAAGGCGAATTTATTTGCGTGAACAGATAAAAAGTAGGAAGTGATTCTATCGCAGCGAATTGTTTCGCAATCCAATCACATCACCGGAATTCAAAACTGATCAGCTTCGCGTCGCGCGAATAAATTTACCTATACGGTGGAAAACGGGCTTAAATTCCCCTGTTTCGTCGATTACAAAAATCTTTTGTAACAAATCAATTTGTGAGTGTTCGCACTTCGCATGTTTGTGCTCGGAAATCGATTTTTTCACTGGCAAGTGTTAACTGGCTCTTCACAAGTAAACGTAGGTGCTAGGTAGGAGTCTATTTCACTACCTTGACTCCAGCATTCGTTTTCAACTATTTCCTGTTAACTGATATTACTTAATTTACTTATTTATCGGTACCTAAAGCGATAAAAAATCCGGTTTTCTTGATTTTAACGTATGTGAATCAAGTGACCGTGCGTGTTTATGTTAAACAAGACGCCTGTTCTGGCGTTAACTCCGGCTCATATTCGCATTTAGATGCCTTGCGAACCTAAATGATCGATCGCGAAATTCAGAAGCACATCGTACTTTAAAAAGTATAGAAGTTCAATTGTTCAAAAATGTAAATAAACCGCATGATACATTCGCTTTGTCTTACACTTTGCCTTTGGCATTCGCGCTTATATATTATATCTTCAATCCTGTGCAAACTTCGACGTGTCAACGCGCCCATACACGACCACATCATCTTGTTAAACGGCGAAATAGCAGCGATATTATTAAAATAGGACCAGAATCTACATGTATTAAATATATTCTTACCCCAATTTAATCTAAACTTAATCGAAAAGCATGAAAAGAACGGTTTATTTGTTCCTCTTGGAGGAATTGCCGTATCATGCGAGCGAAATCGAATCGCGCATCGGAAAATTAGCCAAAGCTGTGCACCAAAACTCTTGGGAGATAAGACTGGGACGTAGATAAATACGGTCACATACATGTTTAAAATACTAGAATGTTTCGCGCCATTTCAGACTTGCGACGACGAAAAATAAAAAAAAAAATCAAAAAAAAAACAAAACAAAACCAAGGCGAATTTTCAACTCCGTCGCTGACGCCGGAGTAATGACTGTGGTGTGACAGCCAAATTTTACCAATGATCACGTGACACTTGAAGTGCACCAGAGCCCATTACACGTACTACAGCGGATTCACATGGTCACAGCATCAGTTTAAGTTGTTTTACCGTACGGTATCTCTGTCCCCAGAACTTTTTAATTTCTTGTTATATTAAAGGGATGGTCATGCTATCCGGGGGATAAAACTCGCTCAAACATGGCTAATTTTGATTTCGTGATGCGAATCTGGTGTAGTGTAAGCAGGGTCTTTATAGCCAGTTTTAGAAAGTGAACTTAATTTTACCAAAACCAAAATTTCTACCAATTGATTGTTTTAGGTCTGTACTCTTATAAGTACATAACTTTTCACGAAAATCTGCCCCTCTTGCCCTCTGGCAAAGCATCCTTGAGTAAATACTTGCATCGGCTAATCACATTTTAATTCCAGGAACTCCAGGAAGAAGCCAAAAAGGTGGAGAAAAAATGCTTATATTTTGGACTTTGGAGTCTCTAAAATAGTAAAAATTTGGAAGACTATAAGAACTATAAGATTTTTGATCTTTATTTTTAGTTTCTTGTGTGCATGTAACAACGAGTATGGTTGCAATAATGAATAAATGATGATGATAAGTCATTATCTCTCACGTGATGTGTATTGTCAATAGTTCTGTGATGGCGGCGTCGTGTGTCCTTCTTCCCGGCGTTCAACACTGAAAAACCATCGTGCCTTGCGATAGATTTTCACGGTAAGAGCAAAATTTTGATATCACAAAGAATCAAGGGAAGGTTTCTGTATTTAGAAAAGCGTGTATTTGCTTACTATTTCGAAGCGCGAGATGTTTTATTGCGATTAGTTTTGATGATTTCATAAGATTTCTCGAGCTGTGTGTTTACGTAAAAATTCAGCAATTCAAGCCCGGGTTTATTTCGAATAAAGACAGCCTTTTGTGATCCCAATATGAGCCAGGAATATCCCCGAAAGCAATCTTCAAACATGTCCATTTTGTGGCGGAAATATTTCACTTTGAAGTAAAGAATTATGGTTTTAAATTTTGAGCGGCTGGAGTTGAAATAGAATCTTTATTCTGTACTGTCGCAGTTCAGTGTGTGACCAAAAAGGCACAAGAACTCCACGTACACTTCGATGTTTAATGTGCACTTTCCACGTCTATACTGTTTGATACTCATGCAATAAATACACATAGCTTTTGCCTGCCATTTGTTAAGAATTTACCTGAAAAATCGTGGCATTTGTTTTGTATATATATAACTCCATACCTTAGTCTTCGACGACAACAATATATTCAGGAGAATAAGACCCAAACCAAGGCCACACGCAAAAAGTAGGGTATTTTTGGGTGCATTGGCATCTTATAACAAAAATCTGAAATGTAGACATTGAAATGTATAGCTGCAGGGCCTTAGAAATGTCTATTTATCAAATATAACCAGTGACCCTGGCAATGAAGGGCTTTCTCCTCTTGAGTTAATTTCAAATATGTTAGCATTCTTAACAGTTTCTTAACAAATCAAAGTTTAAAATACCAAATTGAACTCTATATCAGTAAAAAATTTCCTTCTTGATCCCTGATTCTGGCATGAGCTGATGAGCACAGGATGTTGAGGCACATTTCAGAGAGCAAACACAGGACATGACAGGCAAATATTATTTCATGGAACAACATCCTAATTTTTTTGGTGAATTGTTTAAGTGCTTTGGTATGGTATAACCTGTATAAGTGTAGAGGGGTATTTGTGGTTGGGTGCATCTACAC